CGCACCCATGTATGTATGTATTTATGTATCTATGTATCTATGTACGTATGTATGTTTGTATGTATGCCTGTATGTCTGTATCTGTATGTATGTATGTATGTATGTATGTATGTATGTATGTATGTAATTCTCTAACTTACCTTCCCTTGGTAGACCCCAAACATACTACGACACCCTTATGAAGAGGACCCTAAAACAGGAACTTAGATAACTACCCTTATAGGCGTCCGCTCCGCCGCGGACCTGGTGGTACGCCGCAACCGACAGCCTTGCCAGGTCCTGCTCCAATGCCGTCTTCATGGTGACGCCCCGCCACCCTCGGCTGAAATTGTCAGGCGCGATCTCCTGGCATGTGCTCGGGCGATGAGGTAACTGAAAGCCCTTCTCGGCCAAGAACAGCATGTTCTCCAGCGGATCTGGCGCTAAGGGGGTCAAGGCTCTTCTCGTTCGCCGGTGTGCATAGCCGTCCATCTCGAAGGGCTCGTTCGAGAAGAACCTTCGGATGACCGTGTACTTCCTGGCCGGCATCTTGCTGGAGATGGCCGGCGCCGTGAGGACCTTGCTGAGCTCCTTCGTCATCACATCAAAGTTTGCCGGGCTTCGGGCGTCCAGCATGACCAAGGTATCCTTCTCGATGAAGACGGGCTCGGGTGGCTGCCTGGAAAGTGTTCCCCCGACCCCGAACCCTGACCCTTCACGAAGATCTATAAACCTTCGGTCTTTTATATCCCTTTAAGGGACCCCTCAACGGTACCCTAGCTTAGAGAAATACACAAACTGAATCCTTATAGCACCCTTGAAGAAGGGACTCTAATTACGCGAACCCCGCATGTAAAACCCTGAAAAGAACACTTAACCCTATAAACCCTAATTTAGAGAACTACCGATGTATGTGGGTGGTTGTCAAAATTAGGGTCCCTTTTTGGGTCCTTATTATAATACGGCACCTATTATTTAGGGTACCCCAAAAGGGACCCTAATTTTGACAACTACCCATGTATGTATACTATCAGACATCGCATCCGAACCTGGGCTCGGCTCCGGCGAGAGGCTGCGGCCCTCTGAGGGGCTGGAGCCCTGGCTTTCGAAGGCTGAAACCCTGAACCCTAAACCCTCATGAAGGGTTGAGGGTCTAGGGTTTTGGTTAAGTTAAACTCTAAGATCATTAAGGTTTTAGGGTCTAGGGTTTGAGTTAAGTTAAACTCTAAGATCGAAACTTTGAAGTCGAAACCCGAAACCGAAAACCTTGAACCCTAAGGAGCCTTGGGGCTTAGAAGGCGCTGCTTTCAAAGGGAGCTTCTAGGTTTAGGGTTTAGGGTTTAGGGTTTAGGGGCTTTTAAGTGTTTGAGAGGGCTCCACAGGGTTTTAGAGACATTTATGGGTAATTCTCTAAATTAGGGTCCCCTTTAGGAGCCTTTTTCATAAGGGTGGCCTACTATCACAGGATACACCTCATTTAGAGAACTACCCTTATGTAGCTTTATAGGGTCTACTATGGTCTACTGCAAAGGATTTTACATGGTCTTACGGATTGCATTGCGCAATGTAGAGTTTTACCAGGCGCTGTCGGGTGTCATGATTGTGGGTAGTGGAGAGCTTGGCAAGCTGGGGTTGTAGGAAAGTTCTAGAAGGTTCGAGAAGTGCTGTTTGGTTTTCACGTGGTTCAGGAATTTGAGGGCTTATGCGGTGGTCAGGGTCAAACAGGCGTTCATACCATTCCTGCACACGAAAAAGTCTCAGAATAAAGAGCCCTAAATAAGGAGCCCAAAGAGGTAATATAATATAGGGGCCTAAATCCCATTATACTACATTTATACTCAGGAACCTCCAAAATAGTGTTGGCAATTATTTAGGCCCCTACATTAATTGATTAGGCTTCAGATGGACCTTCTAGCCGGTGTAGAATGAGGACTTCGGACCCCTAAATCCTAAACCCCTAAACCCTAAACCCTAAAACCCCAAAAAGGACCTTGGATAGAGACTGCAGTCGAAGAGTTGCAAGATTTAGCCTGTTAGTACTAACGAGGTTTAGTACGCGAGCGGCCCAAAACACTACAGCTACAGACTTTGAGGCTTCAAGTCCTAACACTAGCAGCTTCGAGCTTTAAGACGAAAGCCAGAAACGCTACATCAACACCCATAGTGTTCTGAATGATTTTCAGAGGCTTGTATGTAGGTCTGTGAAGGCAGGAGCTTCTGATAGCAACCCTAAGCCCCAAGCCCGAACCGCCCGACTCGCATCAAACCTCTTCGCCGCTTTGCTCGAAGGTCACCGACAACCTTCGGGTGCCCAAAGCTAGAGGGGCTTTGGGTTTGAGGGTCCAGGGTTCTGGGGCTTAGGGTTAAAGATGAAGGTTTAAGGGTTTAGGGCCAAGCTTATAGTTCGGCTTGTATCATGTCAGAAAGCGAAGCAACTCCCTGGTGTGCTGAGTGTAGAGCTTCGAGTATATGCAGAAATCCTGCCATCCAACTGAACGTGCTTTCTTGGATCCAGGAGCTTTTTACCCCTAAACCGTAAACCCTAAGCCCCAAAGCCTAAACTGAGCTGAGGGTCTAAGCAGGGTCTAGTCTTAGACGACCTATACTGCCGCGGCAGATGAATGTGCGAATCCTGTCTCACAAAACCCTGTAAACCCTTATAGGCCCTAAGCCCCCAACCCTGAACCCCGAACCTTAAGAACTTGTGTCAATGTAAACACTGGGATCTTACATGCTGCAAAAATTTCACTAAACTTTAAGCCCTATGTAAGTTTCAGAAGATAAGGGGCTCTAATGCACCCCGTGCCCTTGACTACAAGCCCTAAATTCCTAAACTAAACCGTCGAACCCTACATCCCAAAGGCCGTAACATTCAAGCGAATAAAGAACCAAGAAGCTGAAACCGCCTCAGGCAACAAGACAACTGCCTTCTTAGGAAGGCCTCCTATCATGATTTCCTCCTATAAGTCCTTCAAGACGTAGGAGTTTCGGGGTTCCGGTGCTCAGGTAAGCTCTAAAATTAAACCGCTGAGCCGCCAAACCAAATCCCAAACCCCGAAACCCTAAACCCCTCAACCCCTAAACCCTCAAACCCCAAATCGTCGAGTTCCTGGCGGCTCTGCCCGGATCATCTGCAGATGAAGTGGCGGAATGCCGAAGGGTGGATGGCCTGAGAAATCGGCTCTCACGGGGTGTTGGGTTACTGGTGCCCTGCACCGGGATCTAGAAGGGGGTTCCTACAAAGGGATCTACAAGGGTTCTATAAGGTTTAGGATGTATGGTTTAGGGGTTTGTGGTTTAGGGGTTCAGGACTGCATGTAGCCCGAGGCCCCACAAATAGTGGGCTATGGCTCTTGGACTGCTACGGCACGGTTTAGCGTTTAGGGTTTAGGCTTTAGGGTAACATCCTGGACACACTAAGGTAGAAGCCAGAAAGTTGGAACATCATTCTCCATATACCCTTAGGGCAAAATAGAAGGGATCCTTGCACTAATCATCCTAAATCCATGTTCCAACATTCTGGGTTCGCTGTAGGTTTGCAGAGCCAAAACGTATGGGTTATAAGTTATAAGTCTTAAAGGCTTTCGGGTTTTGTGGGTACAGGGTTCACTTTCAGACCCAGCAACAACATCTACCGTTTTAGGGGCTTTCTTAGGATCTTTTGATAAGGCTTAAACAGATCCTAACTTGAGCAAGTAGGTTCTTGGAGTGAAGACAAATTCTCGGAATTTACAGGTTTTAAGGGTTAGTGTGTAAGGTGAGTTTTTAAAGACTCCCCCGCCCTGAAACATCTAGTGGAATATTCTACTCCCCCTGAGTAAATGGATAACTACACTAGTGTTCCTTTAAATGCTGTCTTAAGGGCTCGGTAAAGAGGTTCTACACGGGGTACTACAAGGGTTTAGGATAAAAACTTGAATAGTTCAAGTATAACATGGTGGGTATGTGTCATGGTGGGCTTACCCTCCCATCAGAACTGAAGAAAGACTCCACAAGGTTCGAAAACATGTTCATTTAACTCAAAACGCGAAAACTAAACCCTAAGATAATTTCAAGCAATCTCCCGTCGCCGCCGATGCTAGGCCGAATATAAGGCATTAAGAACACCAACTACCCGATTGACCATATAGACTTGTGCTTTGGGTATGGATTTGGTTTTAAGCCCTGGGGCTTGTGGAATATTTTTAAATTTTGTTGTTTCTTCAAAACGTAGGGTTGAAGGTCGAGTTTTAGGGCTTTGCGTCTGTGTAGGTTGTTTTCGAAGCGGCTGCAGGCATTTATGTTTCAGTCATTGGTGGATTTGAGGGTGTGGCGTTTGACGCGGGTGCCGGGTTCAGGGAAGGATGTCCAAACAACGAAATCCTGCACCCATAGATGTCATGCCTTACACCCTGAACAATAAAATAGTAAAGCTCTTATACAGAAGCACCTCTAGACCATAGATGAGGCCTGCAAACCCTAAACCTACAATCCCACACCTAAGCCCTTGTAAAGCCTCAGAAATCCCAGAGAAAATCTGAACCCGGAAACCTAAACCCTGTAAAAACTTAGAAATCCCAGAACCCTAAACCCTAAACCCTAAACCCTAAACCCCTAAACCCTAAACCCTAAACCCACCCAGAACAGGAAAGCCTAAATCTCCAACTTTCGGAGTTCACCATGTTGACCTGACGTAGAAGCCTTAATCATTAGAACAGGGTTGCGGGGCCCATTATATTACAATTATAATAAGGACCCCAATGCATAATGTAGGTAATTGTTTAAGTTCCTATATTTACTTGCATTACTTGCTAAAGGCCAGCTGCTGGGATCAGGCTTGTAGGGATTATGAGTCCCGCCTGCTCTGCTGCACCCCAGCGGCTGAATAGGTGCAAGAGGACTGTCCTGCATTTCACTATCAAAAGGTTCCTTTTATGGTTCCTGTTGGTGGTTTATATTTAGGATCCTCGAAGGTAATCCCCAAAGAACAACTATCCCGGGCACCTGAAAGCTCTAGCAACCCCTGCACACTCAAGTTTTTCACCGTACTTAGGGTTTAGGATTTAGGGTTTCGGGCTTAAGAGCCTAATTCCTGCCTTGTTGAGCAAGCACATGCATAATGCAAACCTAATCCTTACAACGAAGACGGATTCTTAACAGGATTTGCGGTTTATAGGTCTGAGTCTTGGGCCCTAGACCCTAGAGGGGGCGAGGAAAATCTGAACAAGCCGATTTGAATCAGCATGTACTGATACGGGAGGGAGCTTCAGCAAGTTATGCACACTCCTAGACTTAAAGGAAACTAAAGGTGGGGAGTTCAGGGTATATAGGGCTTCTATCAGGCTTCTATAAGGTATATAGACCTTCTATAAGGCTCCTACAACAGTAACTAGCCGCCTGAAAAATGTCCTAGATAAACAGAGCTCCCAACTCGTAGGTCGCCTTTCTCCAAAGAAATCCGCAAGTCAGAATGAACCTTTTCGAGAAATTAGCTAAACCCTAATACTAAACTCCTGTACAGCCCCATTCGCTCCAAACCCGAAACCCCCGAACAGACCCTTATAGTAGCGGCTTCTACAATCCTTCTAACCCCTAGTTCACCTGACCCTAAATTTCAAGAGACGCCTCAAACAAACCCTAGCCCTGAACCCTAAACCCGTATTGAGCCCGAAGAAAGGAACCAACAAAGAACCCGTAGAGGAACCCCTTAAACCCCTAAACCCTAAACGAACCCCTATAGACCTTAAGCCCGAAACCCTCATGCCCTGAAGCCTTAGATCGCCTTAAAGCACCCCTTTGGATCGTTTGAAGAATTTGCCGGATCCCTTTAAAGGAGCCCTACACCCCAAACACTTCAAATTACATAGGGGCCTTAATAATTAGAACAGGGGTTGGGGGTATAACTATAATAAGGAACCCCCCAGAAAAATAGCATTGGTACTTATTTGAGCCCCTATATTAACCCGGGTGCCTCCAGCTCTACAAGGGCGAAGCTGCAGTCATAGTGAGCGCTGTGCGTCACCAGTTCATCGGCGGCCTTACAGAGTGGGGATCAGGGCCCCTTCAAGGGTTTAGGGTAGAGGGTTCCTTTAAGCGTTTACGCAGAGTTTATGATTTAGGGTTTAGGGTCCCTTTATGCATGGGTTTAGGGATTAGGGTCGCTTTAACAGTTTAGGCTTGAGGATTTAGGGTTTAGGGGATCGCGAACGTTTCAGCCAATTCAACTCCTTCACTTGATACATCCGGTCCGGCAAAGGGATCCTCTCGGCTACGTTTGGCGAAAGCTTCAAAGCTCGCTCAAGTAAACTTACAGCCTCAATGGACTCAGCTTGGCTCACCCTGGTTTCAACTCGCTCTATGCATCCACCATGGGCTTACGAACCTCGTCGAGGGCAGCACTCATGCTTGGAGGTTCACGGGTAGTTATAATTAGGGTCATAAGCCCCTTGATCTAGGTTATAACTACAGTTACCCTACTTATAACCCTACTTATAACTACCCATGAACCTCCAAGTAACCCCTAAACCCTAAACCCTAAACCCCTAAACCCTAAACCCCTGAGCCCTAACAGTTACTAAGTCCCATGATCCTCCAAGTAACTAAAGTCAGATGCAGGTGTATGGCCTTCCTGGCTAAGC